GCCAAGGTGCTGGCGCGGCCGAACCCGCGGCGCAGTGCCGCAGGACGACCCCCGAACACGAACGCTTCGGCGCCGCCCCCGTCACCCGAGAGCACTGAGGAAAGGAGAGACGAAAAGAGGGACGGCGAGACGGGCGGCGGCATGCCGCGTGAATACTCCGTTATCGGGCAAGGTGCAGACTGATTCCTCGCTGTCTGTCTCCCTCATACTCTTGAGCACTTCCAGTAGGTCCGCAGGCGAGCGAGGAGGACGGAGCGATCCGAACTATTTTCAGAACCAGCTTGATGGCAGCGGGACGCTGCCCGCATGGATCCGAGCAGCCATGCGGAGGCTTCGATTGCTGCCCCTGTGCCAGGGCGGTTCGATTCCTGAATGTGTGCGACACACTCGAGAGTGGCGCCTGCAGAGTGATTCCTGGAGTCGTGTTCGTCGTTACGTCTCTCTCGCACTCGCGTCCCGCAAAGATGCGAGACAGAGCGACAGGATCAGGGGTCAGGTCGACGGAGTGTTACGTGTTACTTGGACGGGGCGCGCTGTTTACGCGATTAAATTTTGGGCCGGGGAAGCACACTGGTAAATTAGGGCTCGTCACCTGGCCGACGGCGTCGCGGCGTCGACGGCCTGCAGGGCGTCGTGGAGGGCGTGAGGCGTGAGGCGGCGCGCGTGGGCTGCCACCATCCATCTCCCTCCAGCAGGCTGATTCCGAGAGTCGCTTTCGTCGCTCTGTCTCTCTCGCACTTGCGGCGCGCCCCGTATGGGTGCGAGAGAGACAGAGCGACGACTCTCGGAATCGTTCTGCAGCCGGCCGCCTCGCGGCGCCTCGCTGAGTGATGAGCAGGTAAACACGCGTTGGCAACCCTAACCTGCTCTTCGCCGCGCCCCATCGAAGCGTGCGTGCGGGTGCGCGCGTGTACCGTTTGTCACGCCAGGGTCGCGTCAAGGTCGCGTCGCGTCCAGGTCACGTCGCCGAGGTCGCACGTCGCCGCCGAGGCCCTGCTCAAGTCTGAAGAGCTGCCTGACCCCGCGGCCCGTACCGGGCGGGGCGCTTCTCGAGGCGCGCGCCGAACGCGGGGCTTTGGCTTGGACCGCTAGAGCGGCTTGCGCGGACGGCCAAAGACAAGAGGGACGCCGTGGAGGGCGTCATCCTCTCGAGTCGCCCGCGCTGTCCTCCTCGCTGCTGCCCACGGCCCACGCAACCTGGAATACCCCGAGTAATTTTTCCTCCGGGCGAGGCAGGCCGTCCGTGCCTCCTGTAGAATCATTCCGCACATTGTTTTCGTCGCTCTGTCTCTCTCGCACCTGCACGGGTCACCCCATGGGTGCGAGAGAGACAGAGCGACGAGACCAGTCGGCCGCTCGCCGCGGGGGTGTTATAAACGGCAGGCAACGCCGTGTTTGGTTAAAGTATCAGTGCATAATGGTTGGTTGTAGGAGCCCGCTCAACAATACAAACAAAATTCATTGTGTAAATAAAGTCCAAGTTCCGAGAAAAAATTTTGCCGGAGAGTCTAAAAGTAACGCGGCGTGTACGACCTGGCCAGCAGACTGTCGGACTGTCGGCGCCGCCCGCGCGGCGCGGTGCATTGAATCTGATGCGAACATCGGACATCGCTGGCATCGCCATCTCGACCATCTCGACCATCTCGGCGGCCCGAAATAAACCCGTGACCACTCACAGGTTTACGGCGTGGCGCGCGGCGCCGGCATGGACGGCTTCGACCGCTTCGACGGCGGACTGCGAGCCACAAATCAAAACCTGTGCACTTTGCTGCTCTGTCCAAATTTTGGCGCCAAAAATAGTAGTCGCTCGCGGAACGATTTTTGAAAGTTTTCGGACATAACGTACATAACAGCGTTCAGGTGATAGAAGTTTAAAAGTGATGGAAGTTTATAGACGCCGCTGTTGCTCGACACCACTTGGCTGCCGCTTTGTGACCCAGCAGGACGTCGACCTTCGATAGCATGCCGCGGGGCTGCGAGCCAGGGCCGCCACGGCCGGGGAAAAGTGGAGGGGGAGGGGGCAGAATGTACCTCCGCTTCCCCGCAAACACGCCGCCCCCTCGTGTGTAGGCAACCCACGACGTTGTAAACGAGGGGGCGGAGCTCCACCGGGGGGCACGCCGCCGCCGTCGCCGTGGTTATAGGTACAGACATGACGAGCTATCACGCCAACTACCACTACCCCGCTCAGGCGGCCAAGGCAAACACCGCGCAAAAAAAATGTACTAAAAATAAAAATAAGCCCTGCGAATCGCTTGCTCCTGCGGGGGAACGACCCCCCGGCCCGCCAACTTTTTGATCGTCGTGGTGGAGGCGAGCGGGGCGGGGCGGGGCGGGGCGGGGCGGGGCGGGACGAGCCACTTGCCTGGGGAACAGCAGTACGCCGGAATCACTCAAACTACTCATGGTGGATCTCGATTTTCTCTCTCGCGATCGAGGCATCGAGGTCCGCGCGGCAAACGCCGCGATCCGGCAAATGAGCGCGCGACCGCTTTACTTTTATTTGCGGCCCAATCAAACGGCCGGGCCGTGCCGAGCCGCCCCTAGTTCGTTAAGGTCGGCGCCAAAACAAAAACAAAATCGACGCCGCGTCAAAATAAAAATAGCGCCGATTCCGGAAAAAAGCGGAGCGGTTCTCTCCAGCGATGTCTCCGTTGGGCAAGTGGCCGAAACCAATGAGCCAGCTGGGCGTGGCGGCGTGGCGGCCTGCAGACTGGACCATTCGGAATAACGGCGCGTTATGTCTCTCTCTCTCTCTGTCTCTCTCGCACCCCTACGGTCCGCCCCATGAGTGCGACAGAGACAGAGCGTCGGAACGCTGTGCGGACTGCGGAATAATCGGCCTTGCTGCTGCAGCGGCGGCCTCGTCGAACAAGTAGCGCCGCGTGTACCCAGTGTACCCACCCACCCGGGTCCCTCCCCCGGCCGGCGACGCACAGTGGGCCAGAAGACCGGTGGATGCGGCCAAAACTCTAGAAGCGTTATGAGCTCCAGAGTCGCTAAATGGGACTCGAACCGAACGTGTGACCCCACCAATGGATTGCTCTCCGAACGGGGAATCCATTGATGGGGTCACACGTCCGGTTAGAGTCCTGTTCATCGAGTCTGGAGGTCGAAAACGCGTCTTGAGTTTTGGCCGCCTCCACCGGTCTTCTGGCCCACTGTGCGACGTCCGGGTGCGTCCGGGGGCGAGGCAGGGCAAGGGGTGGAGAGGGTCACGTCCGAGGCGGGTGGCGTGCGAGGGTCGTCGTCGTCCCGAAGGGCGCGCAATTGAATCCGGCCGGCCGGGCGGTGCGGCCTGTGCGGCCGGCCCGATAAAATACCGCCGGCCGGCCGGCGCGCTGTCATTTGACGAGAGATTTACGAGGCTGATGAATTATGAATCCAGCCGGACGAGCCGGGACGAGGACGAGCCTCCACTCGCGGCGCTGCACCCACGCACCGCCCCGCCACGCACCGCCACGCCCCAGGGGTCAGCGGTCAGCCTGCTGCTTAACTACGGTCATGGGGTGGACGCGGATCCAATCAGGTACCGTAACCGTACCCCCGGCCGCCCCGCCCCGCCCCCGCCGCCGTCCCCAGCGAGTTGGCCCAGCGAGGGGAGTCGGAAAAGGTAGTGAGAGCGAGGCGCAGTGGGCCAGAAGACCGGTGGAGGCGGCCGAAACTCTAGACGCGTTTTGAGCTCTTGAGTCGCTAAAGAGGACTCGAACCGAACGTGTGACTCCACCGATGGATTCCTCGTTCGGAGAGCAATCCATTGCTGGGGTCGCACGTTCGGTTCGAGTCCCATGTAGCGACTCTGGAAAACGCGTCTAGAATTTTGGCCGCCTCCACTGGTTTTCTGGCCCACTGTGGGAGGGTCGCCGTCACAGTCACCCTCCGGGCCATCCGGGGCACTCAGCACCCCGTCGACGCGCGCGACACGCGACATGACCTTCCTGCTCGTTGTTGTTCTTGTGGGAATATATTGAAGGTGGAGCCTCCTTCCTTTCCACCGGAAGGGGGCAGGCACGCGGACTGGATGGCAATAGCGTCCCAGGGGATTGCATAGTAGTGGCAGACGGTATAGACGGTGGAGGGGCTGGCTGCCGTCAAAAGGCCCCGCGAAAGTCCCCCCTGCATTCCGCCAGTCAGCCGATATAAGCCGTCGCCCTCCTTTGCGACCCCGCCCCGGCCCGCCATGCATGCCGGGGCCGTGCCCAGCAGGCACCCTGATTCCGGACAGTGCTGTCTCTCTCGCACCCCTACGGGACGCCCCTCGAGTGCGAGAGAGACAGAGAGACGCTGTTCAACGCAAAGGCGGCAGTGAAGGCAGAGCGTCGGCCGCGTCCCTGCTGGATCGGCTGGGGCTGGAACCGCTGAAACCCTCCCAGAGCCGTGCACGCTTCGCTTCGGCCCCGCTTCGCCGCTTCGCTGCTTCGCGGCGCCACGACCTCGACGCCGCCGGGCTCACCCCGCATTCCAGGACGTCGTCGGACCGCCTGAAACAACGGCGTGGCGGGGCGCGGACCGCGCGGACGCATTCCGGACACGGAGCCAGCAATGCAACTGTGATGAACCTTTGTGGCGCCGGGGAGGGCAGGGCAGGGCAGGGCGGGGCGGGGCGGGGCGGGGCGGGGCGGGGCGGGGCGACGACGGGGAGGGCAGGGCAGGGTGGGGCGGGGCGGGGCGGGGCGGGGCGGGGCGACGACGGGGAGGTGGCGGCGGGCGGGTGGCTTCTGCTCGGCCTCCAAGGCGTCTCAATGAAACAATTACCCGATGGGCTGCCAGCAGGGCCAGCAGGGCCGGCAGGGCCGGCAGGGCCGGGCCGCGCGACAAGGGCAGCGAAGGGCGAGCGGGTGGACACGACGTCGGCCTCATCACTTGCAAATGAGGAAGCTCAGTTCGGCAGGGCTTGGCAGGGCTTGGCGGGGTGGCTCCGACTCCCGACCTACGCATTGCCAGTCCGTCAGCCACCAGTCTGCTCTCTCTCTCTCGCACCCTAACGGAGATCCCAAGAGATCATTGCTTTATGGATAGGAAGCGGAGGCCCTCTGGGACGCTGCATCGGCCCACGTTGAAACACCTCACGCCTCTATAAAAGCACGCACAGTGGTGGTTGGGGTCTCAAAATGCTCAGAAGACCTTACCGAACGCCTTGGTGGCGAAATCGAATCATAAAAGAAGTCTAATTGAGATCCGAAGTCTGTTAAAGTCACTCATTGGAAATGAGACCGGGCGCCGCTCGGATCGGCCTGCGCCTTGTCGAAGTTCTCCCGACGTTCCGGACGCGTTTTTGTTCTTCTTCCGCGACTCGCTACGCCGCGCCACTCCCACCTAACCCCGTTCGCGCGGCATGCTGGCTGACTCCGTTTGTGACCATTTTCGTCCTTAAAGGTGCGTAAATATACATTTGTACTCGTTTACCCTTTGAAATTACCGATCTTCATTAGTTTTTACGTCGTCTCGCGGCAATTCAGTGGTCAATCCTTTCGAGAGACGCCAGATATAGTCGTTTTCTCGGACGTAAACAACGCCGACTCACAGCAGCCTAGCCTATCTTTCGTTCAATCCAATGCCATTTCATTGTAATTTTTTGTCTAGTGATGTATTAAAATCATATGAAATAAGTACCGAAATTGAAGTTTTGCTTTTGCTTTTCCAGGGCTTGAAAATGGCAGCCAGTAACGACAACACCGACTGGATGAACAACTCTTTAAATGCCTCTCTAAACATTTCTATTGCTAGCTCGGTCCTTCAATCGTCTACGCCATTCAAAGTACCTGCCAAACCGAGAACTAGAGGAAAAACTGGGGCCAAGAGAGTGTACGTGCGAGCTGTATGTGATACATGTAATGTGTGTGGCAAGGAATACAGGTGCCACAGATCATATCTGAATCACATGAGGCAACACTCTATTAAAGGTAATAAGTATAACATCATACAAACAGTTCTGAATCATTGAATTTTGACTCCATATGAAACCTTCATTATTTATTTTTCAGAAGCTGCATCAAGATTTCCCAGTGCCTCAAAGATGATTCAGCATTGCACGGAGACGATTAGTGAAAGTTTTGAAGCAATGAAGCTGCGCCCAGCATTTGGTCCCTTAGGTCAGCAATATAAGGCAGTTGTACAAAATGCAAAGGACATAGCTAATGGATCACTAAACATTCCTCAATGGAATGAGTTATTTAAAATAATTCATGAAGAAGCAACTAAAGATGTTGGAGAGTGTAAAGTATTGCTGCCTTCAGCCCTCATTAGTGTACTTATGAAGAACTGTGATAGGCAGCTTTCTGACAGGTGTCACAGAAAGAAATTATGTGATTTACTTCAGATGTGCATAGCCTGTAGCACTTCTGTTGCTAATATTTTTATTGCTGATTATATTTTAATGCTAGTAACCAAAATGTTTAAGTACTACAGTTCTTGTTTGAAAAAGGATGTAACAGACCAAAGAGTGGAAGTTGTTGAACTGGACAATGAAGACAAAGAGACAATTCATTTTATATCTGGGGCTGTTGTGAGGGCATTCTACAAAAAGAGTCGTGCATTTGCAAAGTCAAATGTTAGGTGGGCAAAGATTGGAAATCTTATAACTAATAAGCTCTTGGAGAGTGATGTTGTTCCAGGCCCCCCTGCCATAGTGAAAGGCTGGACAATTGCCAAAAACAAGGGCAGACTTTTTTTTGTTAGCGGTGCATTATTTGATTTTTTTGTTGGTATTGCAGAGACTTTGGAGAAGACGATTGACAAGAAATTTAGAGTGGACTCTAATCGTGTTATTGAAGCGGTGTGCCAGGGTACTGTGATTTTACTGTGGGATGAAGCTGTAGGTGACTGTGTCAATGAAGCACTTTCATATGACTTGATGTGTGGTATGACCAGGTCATTTTGCAATACATTTGGTGTAGGATTGGCCAAGAAGCTGCTTAATAAGAGACGCAAAGCAGAAGCAAGCCTTCCATTACGAGCCCAAGTGGCTCCCAGGCGTAGAAAGTAAATGAAGCTATGGTTCTAGTCACTGCAATGAGTAATTTGACTGAATTATTTCTGTGATTTGCATGCATTAAAAATTGTTTTTAATAGCTAAGCAGTATAATTTATAAGAAATGAGTCAATGGTTGTGTTCAACAGTTGTAGTGTTGCTTAGAATAATCAATCTAGCTGTGACAATTTAAAGTTGTCAATTTATGTTTGTGACTGATTTTAAGATGTGTTTGACTGAAAGCAAACATTTGTAAAGACAGTTTCTTTTTATGGATCTATGACAGAATTTAATGTTTTAAAATGTATTTCCTGTTTCATTTATACTTAAGTTAACTTTTTGTTCCTTTTTGACTTAAAATTCTTTTGTGCTGTTAATTTTTTATTTTGTCTTTGTGTTATGCTGTGGGTGGATTTGTTGGGTAAAGAAAATGCTTATGTTTGAAATATTTAATGACAAAAGTTTTCTTGTTCAAAGCACAATGTCAATTTATTATGAAAAATAAATAATTATGTTCATTGGTAAAGTGCACATTACAATATCCCAACATAATAATATCACATTGACAATCACAATGAGTTGAGTGGACACAAACTAATCACTGATCGAGTGGCATTGTCTAGCTTGTTTTCTTTTAGGGAGCGGTTCACAGTTAATCACATTTTCTTCATCTAAGACTTCTGTGTTTCCTCTCTTGTTTGCAGCACTAAGTTCTCCAATTGTGGAAAATCCTCGTTGTTTATGCAGGAATTGGTTCAAATTTGGGTTGGTACTCCCTCCTCCAGCCATACGTTGTCTTCCAAAATTCTGTTCCAGTGGGTCTTGGCAGAAGACTCGAGCGTTGATAAAAGTCACCCCCTCTTTCAGTAGAAAAGTTGTTGCATGAATAAATGATCTACAAGACATCTCAATGCCCAGCATTGTTTGATGAGGGAGCAAATTTCTTGAGGAGAATTCTTCATCTGATGGATCTCCCGTCTGGCTGTCATCTAACTCATGGAAACTGCCTTCGTCTGGCAAGAGGTCCACACCTAACTCAGACATGACAGATCTGGAATGGGTTGCATCTTGCCCTGCTTGTACCTCTTCTTTCCATTCATCTAAATAAGCAACAAAATCCAGCAGCTCTTGGAATCTGCTCCCTTCAGCTCCGTTCTCAAAGTCTTGAACATCTTGCAGGGTGTATGGATGAAGCCGCCTGTTGTTTTTCTTCACACCATGGGTGGAGAAGGCACCATTCAGCAAATCAAACCAGTCATTAACTCTGTAAATGAACTCAACTGTTTCTGACACTCCAGTCCAACCCTGGCTCAAAATGTCTGTCCCCACAGTGTGGCTCATCACTTCTGCAGCAGATTTCACCTTCATTCTACTGTAGCTGTCAGGGTAGACATTTTGTGCATTGAGCTTGTAAGATTTTCTCAGCGTTTTGTCTTTTTTGGACAGGTAAAGCCTAATAATTGTATCCCAAACAATGTATTCGCCATTCTTCTTTAGAAGCCTTGGGCTCTTCTTGTTATTTTTGGTTTTCTTTCTGGAATTGAAGAAGGCATTTCTGATTGTTTTCAGTAAGTGGGGCACGTCAGAGAAGAAATACAGGAGTCGGTCTGGAGCGTGTTTGTTGACGGTGTCAAACACAACACCTGACCGAGTGATGGTGGCTGGGGTGTGGAGTTTTATGAATGCTCTGTTGACAGGGCAACCATCACCGACAAAAGCAATCACCATAATCCCACTCCTTTCCAGGGCACCAATGACATCCCATGTCCAGAGGTACATCTGCTTTGGAGATGGATTAGTCACAGGGTATGTTGCCACAACATGCTTCAAATTGCTTGAAACACCTTTGACCATGAAGGCCATGACTTTTGATGCCAGCTCTTGCTCCAACACCTTCTCTGGATCATCTAAATGTGCCTCAAGCTCTTTCAATTCCTGGTCTAGGTCATCCAAGTCCTTAAAGCCAATCAATTCACCAGTACTCTTCAGCACTACCAAGTTTTTACTGATGTTCATTTCATCTGCCATAACAACATGGTACTGTTTATGAGTGTGCTCTTCTGATGTAGCTCTTTTTGCAGCAGCTTCTATGACACTTTCATCAATGCCAGGTTTTATTTTAGTCACATGACTGTAGTCAAAGAGGGTCCGTGAAGTAGGGAGCTTGATGAAGCCACAGTCACAAAGTTCCTTGTATGCCCCTGGGGCTTTGAGGTAAATAGAGAGAGCCAATCGAATAAGAGTGGGATGCCACTTCATTGTACATTTGTTTTTGCATTGGGCATACTTGATCTGCTGTTGAAGGAAGAGAGACTGCAAGGGGTCCAGTGATGCAGATAGTAATATTTCAGTTAAATCTTTGGAGACATTGGCATCAACTTTCACCCCTTCCTCCTTTATCATCTTCAGCATCTTGGTCTGCAACCGATCAATAGTTTGCTTCTGTAGTCGTATCGTCTTCTGTTTCTTGGCCAGACGAATGTCCTTTTGCTTCTTTCCCAAAAACCTATTATTAGTAAATTTGTTGGCCTCGGGACAATTGATGGACTGAAGTTTCCTTCTTAAAATAGGAGTCAGTTTTGTACATTCTTTACACCTCCAATGAGCAGAATCAACCAATAACAAGCACTTCTTTGAGCGAAAGGTTTCTTTGTAACGACACTCTTTAAACACATCATTTTCAATGTTGCCTTGTTCAGTTTCAGGCCATGCTTCTTTGAACTCCTTGTGGTCATTTCCAGCACAAATTTCAAGTACACGAAGATTAGAAACAATGTCAACAATTCTGTCAGTGAAATATCCAATGTTTGTAAGAGATAAAGGCTGATTAGCCCGAACACCAGAAAGTACTGGCTGGGCAGGATAATTCACACCATGCACTTGAAGACGCACATCACCAGTGAGCGAGACAGTAACTTGTCTCTGAGTTGCCTTTTCTTCTCTGCGGCCAACCATGAGCACATGAACACATCCATTTGAAACCAAAGGAACAAAATTTTCTGGTAACATGAGAAAGAGATTGCTTCGGACTTCCAACAGTAGAGATTTGGCCACCTCTTCAGTAAGAGGGATGGTCTGAGGCAAAGGCTCTGGTTCTAATACAGATTCCTGCAACAAACAACATTTTTTAAAATACAATAAAAAAGCGGGAATATAAAGATAATTTGTTGGAGAAAAAGAACTTAAAATCCTACCTCAGCAGACACGGGTGGGGGGCTCAAAACTTCAGATGGAGTGGAACTTGAAACCTCAGAGGGAATTGGACTGAAAAGAGATGTCCTAGACATTTCACTCATACTTGTGTTCTGCAATAAACAATAAAAATTAGTACTGCACATGGAGAGCAAAGGTTAATAAGACAGATTCAAATTAGTTACATACCATACTGAGATCTGTCAGCGAGGCAGATAGATTACTCATAAGACTTTGAGCGCTACTTGGCCGGCTAGAAGGAGTAGGGCTGGGACTTGAGCAGTAATCATGGTCTATCAGCTCGATTGAAGTGGGTGTTGGAGGTAGTTCAAACTGAAAAACAGTTCATTCATAGTTAGGAGCCTTTGGAAGATATCATGAAAAAATGTACTTTGTACCATCCTTACCTCAGAGAACTCTGGGTCAATGTCACTCGAAGGCGTGGAAGAACTGTCCTCACTTATGCTGTTGGTAATAGTCTGAAATAATAAATTACAATATTACATACAATTATAAGAAATCAACAACCTGCAAAAGACTTCGGGGCACTACTCACCACTACAGGTTTCTGTTTCACATGTCGCTTCACATGTTTAAAGCGCTTTCTCACAGGAATCCTATTCTTCCTAGCTTTATCTGGTTTGAGAGGTGGCTCCATTTCTTTTGGTTTGACAGTCAGAGGTGGCTCCATTTCATTTGGGTTGACAATCAGAGGTGGCTCCATTGTGGCTCCAGGTGGCTCCACTTTGAATGCACCGAAGTTCAAAGTTGGAACAGCTTCCAACACCAGAATCTTTTGCCTAGAGCCAAGTAAACATAACAATACCTTAAACCATTAATTCATCAAAATGCTCGTTACAAAGTTAAGATTTGCATTGGTTGCAATACAGCCTACAAAAATGGCATTGGATTGAACGAAAGATAGGCTAGGCTGCTGTGACTCGGCGTTGTTTACGTCCGAGAAAACGACTATATCTGGCGTCTCTCGAAAGGATTTACCACTGAATTGCCGCGAGACGACGTAAAAACTAATGAAGATCAGTAATTTCAAAGGATAAACGTGTACAAATGTATATTTACGCACCTTTAAGGACGAAAATGGTCACAAGTGGAGTCAGCCAGCTTGCCGCGCGAACGGGGTTAGGTGGGAGTGGCGCGGCGTAGCGAGTCGCGGAAGAAGAACAAAAACGCGTCCGGAACGTCGGGAGAACTTCGACAAGGCGCAGGCCGATCCGAGCGGCGCCCGGTCTCATTTCCAATGAGTGACTTTAACAGACTTCGGATCTCAATTAGACTTCTTTTATGATTCGATTTCGCCACCAAGGCGTTCGGTAAGGTCTTCTGAGCATTTTGAGACCCCAACCACCACTGTGCGTGCTTTTATAGAGGCGTGAGGTGTTTCAACGTGGGCCGATGCAGCGTCCCAGAGGGCCTCCGCTTCCTATCCATAAAGCAATGATCTCTTGGAGATCCCCATGAGTGCGAGAGAGACAGAGCGACTCTTCGGCTGCCGGCCAGCCGTCAAACAGCCAGGGGTGGCAACTCGTCGCTCGCGCCCTTGGACCCCGGGCGGCCGGGACTGCCGGGACCCACGAATTAATCCCATCTCGACGCGGGGGCGGGTGGCGGCGGCTTCAACATGCAAAGGGAAAACCACCTACAGATGAAAGAAAATGTATGAAAAATTGCGCCCAAGTTGGTAAAAAAAAAAACTTCCGTCGCATTGGCTCAGTGCTCAGTGCTCTCCTCTGCTTGTGGGGTCGTCGTCGTCGTCGTCGGGGACTCCTTTACGTGCGGGAGGCTCGGGGGCGGGGAAGTCTGGGCTCAATGGCAGATTGCAGTGGCGAGGGGAGACGGGACAGAGAGGGGCCGTTGGCAGGCGCAGCACGCCCTGGCCGAGGCCGTGCTGGCCGAGGCCGTGCTGGCCGAGGCCCTGGCCGTGGCCCTGCCCCCCACGACCCCGATGGCCCCGTGGCCCACGCCGCCGAGGCATCCGAGGGGGGAGAGGGCAGTCCGGCTCCGGCCTCAGCGACATGGCCTCATCAGGCCATCGTATTTTTAGGGGTTCCCAAGAACCCCTATTGTCCGAGGTCCGTGGATTCTTCCCCCCCCCCTCTCCGATTTTCAAATAAACAACTCTAAACTATTTCAACCATAAAAAAAACGAAAATTCCAATTTTTTTCGAAAATTCATCGTGGAAATTTTCCGTAAACGCGAAAAACATAAATTTGCAACAATCGAAAACGAGAACCGTTAATGATATGAAAAAATGGTTCAAATAAGAAATGTGCCACTCCTCAAAACTAAACCTCCTGGCTCATCAAAGTAACAAGAAATCGTATATGTTCTGAGCAAATGGTCAAAACATGAAAAAAAATCTCCATGGCAACGGCATGGTCCCATCGTACCACCCGTCAAAATTTAAAGTCGCCCATTAAAAAAAATCTAAACGCCGTGAAATTCGAAAATGCTAATGCTAACACATTGCACGGTGTCTCAACGTTGGAACATCTTTAAAGTCTGTCACTACTAAAAAGTTCGTAGCAGAAACGACACATCAAATTAATTTTCGTGGGTTGGCACCAATATGCATGCCGTCTGCGCCCTTTCGAAAATCGCGAGGCTGAAAGAACGAACAGGCGCTCATTGAAACTGCCCCTCCATTGTTGCTGAAGTTGGATTGTTTGGCATGCTCTCAAAGGCTGCGGTTGTCTTGTCATGTTTTCCTCGATTTTCGACCAGTTATGGAAACGGGAACACCGTGCAATGCAATTAGCATTGGAATTTTTTTAGTAGTTAGGCAATCCCCCCCGCGGCGCCTAGACGCAGGCCGCGACGCCTAGAGGAGACGCGCGTCGTCGCCAAGCCGCCAGGCCGCCACCCGCACGCGGGCCGGCCGTGTCAATGGAGGGCTTCTCTCTCTCTCTCTCTCTCTCTCTCTCTCTCTCTCTCTCTCTCTCTCTCTCTCTATCTCTCTCTCTCCTTGCCGAGGGCGAGAGAGATACTTGGCGGCGTGGCGGCTGACATCGAGAGCGGCGAGGACGCTGTCAGAAGTGGCAGCAGCGTCAGAGTCACACGCCGCTCGCACCGACACACTCACACCGACGCGTGTGGCCACACACTGCCACACACCGAGACGACGACGACGGCGCCCTTACCGCGCCAGCCAGCCCTGCCAGCCCGGCCGGCCTGCCTCCGCGCGGCGGGACGGGGAAGGGAGCGGCAACTTTTATACGGCTCTTTGGCAATAGTTGTCGGCGGACAGGGGCGGTCCACCCCCCGAAACGTCCTGCCGTCCCGACCGGGCCCCTTGCCGCCGGGCGCGCCGGGCCCACGCACAGTGGGCCAGAAGCCGGTGGAGGCGGCCAAAACTCTAGACGCGTTTTGAGCTCCAGAGTCGCTAAATGGGACTCGAACCGAACGTGTGACCCCACCAATGGATTCCTCGTTCGGAGAGCAATCCATTGGTGGGGTCACATGGTCGGTTCGAGTCCCATTTAGCGACTCTGGAGCTCAAAACGCGTGTAGAGTTTCTGCCGCCTCCACCGGCTTCTGGCCCACTGTGCCACGGCCCAGACCCAGGCCCAACCCGTTTTAGCGCTCCCTTCTAAGTGCCCCGTGACAACAGGGCCAGCACGGCATCGCGTCGCCGCCGTGAGCGGCGCGAGGCACTCGGTGGAATCGCGGACGAGCCACCGGCGTCGCGACGGGACTCCTCCGGGTCTTGGAGTCGTTTTCCAACTCCACCGCGCTTCAGTCATGTAGCCCCACTAGCACCGCGAGGCTTTTCAGCCGCGTTATTCCTTAGCCTCGCAGCCCTTAAAAGCCCTCGGCCCTTTGCAGTGCTCTAGCCCCACGACGAGTCGCACCCGTTTCCAGCCCCGGATCCACTTTCCGTCTCGATGAATGGGCGCGACGCACTAATGGGCCTGAAGCGCGCTGCCACCGGCTGACAGTGCACTGCCCCGCGACTCAGGAGCTCAAAACGCGTCTAGAGTTTTGGCCGTCTCTACCCGTCTTCTGGCCCACTGTGTGATGGCGCGGCGGGGTTGGTGAAAGTCAAAAACCAGCGTGAAAAGAAAAGACGGTCGAGGTCAAGGTGAGGCCTCGCGGAAAATGTTGATCCACGACGCCGACCTGCGAGGACCTGCCGCCGATCCCTTCGCCCTTCGACTCGGGTGACTTGTTGCCCGGCAGCGGGGTCGCGCCGTCAGGGGCGTCCGAAGGGGCGGGGCAGCCCCAGCGGCCCGGCCCGGCACGGCGCGGCCCCGCCGCTTACAATAAGTTTCGGCCAGGCGGCGCCTCGTTCGTCGACCCTTTTTGTTTCGCCGCGCTCTCCCCCTTCGATTGACCTCGCCGACGACGAGGACGGCGACGACGGCGACGCCCCGACTCGTGTCGCCGGCAAACACTGTTGTTGAATCGGACGAGACACCGGGGACACCTCGTTACGCCCAAACGACGGACGCGGCGGACGCAGTGCCGCGGCGTGGCCGGACACGGCGCGGCAGGACACGGCGCGGCAGGACACGGCGCGGCAGGACACGGCGCGGCAGGACACGGCGCGGCAGGACACGGCGCGGCAGGACACGGCGTGGCAGGACACGGCGCGGCAGGACACGGCGCGGCAGGACACGGCGTGGCAGGACACGGCGCGGCAGGACACGCCGCCCTTTTGGCACGCTTCCCGCACGGCGACGCGTCCCGTCCCGAAGAGCCTCGCCACGATAAGGTCCGTCCTTGCGAGGACCGTGGAGATAAGAGTGGAGCTATCGAAGGCGTGGCAATCGACGCACTGCAGCCTGCAGCGGCGGCCTAGCGGTGCATCCTTGCAGTGGACACACCCGGAGCCACACGGACTGACAGCGTCTCTCTCTCTCTCTTTCTTTCTCTCTCTCTCTCTCTCTCTCTCTCTCTCTCTCTCTGTCTCTGTCTCTCTCGCTCTCTCTCTGTCTCTCTGTCTCTCTCTCTCTCTCTCTCTCGCACCCTCGCGGCGTGCCCTACTGGTGCGAGAGAGACGCAGAGCGGAATGAGTCCGCACTGGGCACAAGGAGCAAGCCATGCAGACATCGGCCGCGTGATTCAGTCGCTTTGACGGTCTGTTTTGCGCGGCTTTGAGTGAGCGGGATGAAAAAGCAGCCATCAAGCCGCAGAGCAGAGGCGGGACGGAGGAACCCCACGCACTGTTTATCCGTTGGAGCAAAGCAAAGGGGTCGTCCTGGCCCGCGGCGAGCTTCATCTGCAGCAGATTCCGAGAGTCGTTTTCGTCGCTCTGTCTCTCTCGCACCCACAGGGGACCCACCGTGAGTGCGAGAGAGACAGAGAGACGGTCTGCAGCAGAGGGCTGGCCGAGCCAATACCACCATGAACGGACGACGTCGCCGTCCTGGGCTAGTTTGAGACAAGTTTCTACCAAACTATGGCGTGCTGGTCTTCTTTCCGCATGCCTTCGCCTGCGTGAATATCCGGAAAACTATTGAATATCTGTGGGTAAACTTCGACCCGTTTGGTCAACAACTGACCCACCCGAGCCGAGCCACCGCGCGACCCTGGGACAAGGAACTCAAACTCTCTCTCTGTCTAGTTTGTTTTTGTTTGCCGGCGTGCGACGACGTCCACGACGTCCATTCGATTTGCATGCACCTGTCCGCCGTTCCCGGGCGCGGCGGCGCGGCGTCTCCATCAGCCTGACGAGTCGACAGAGGGCGCCATTGTCCTCTCCTCGCAATGCACTCAAGTCCGGGGCATGGCCGCCTGGCTGCCTGGCTGCCTGGCTTTGGCTTTCCTGGGA